TGAAGAGGTCTGAGCAGAGGTGGGGAAGGAGGAGGGAAGGAGGACCATCGAGAAAGGGAAGGAAGTGAAGGTGGGACACGCCGACTGTTTGGAAGTGGCACCATAACTCAAGCTGATACAAGTCGTGGTGTGCCATGGCGTGCTGGATGACGGCGCAGAGCTAGCGCGGAAAAACTGCCTTTCTCCCTGCTTTGTGAACCACGGGATTGACGTTGAGGTGTAAAGTCACTTCGTGCTGTTGCTTCTGCTAAACTCTCGTCACGGCTCGCCGCGTAGAGCTGCTTCGTGACGTTTCCGACCGACTAGAACGGGCCTCTCTGAGCTTGTGAGCCACCGACCCCATTTTCCTCCACGTTCAGTAGTTAACTCCTTGTCCCGTCGTAGGCAGCTAGATTGCGTTACTCGCGGACCTTCGATATCCTTACGGACTCTTCAGCATAGTCCGAAGGCGTATTTCTCCATATTTTTTCTCCACACCCAAGTCGCATGCTCCACGCATCGGCAAATCGCTGAAGAAGAAAGGCGTCTAGCCTCGGGAGACCTCATGCGGCGCGGCACGGATCTCTCGACAAAGCGAAGCGTAGTACGAACAGAAACCGGGAGCCCGGCGTGTCGTAGGAACCACGATTGTCAACCAGAAGCCTCCGTAAAGATGGGTTCGGTACCGCTAGAAAGACACAGCTCGTCATGCTCGGAACTCAACGCCCAGCACTATCGAGATACACAAGTATTAGGTGCGAACCGCCGTTCATTCTCCCTACCACAAAGCCGCGCGCGACGGCAACAACGGCTCGTCGTTTCGTCTCTCATCTTCTCCTTCCCATTCGCGCTCTTCGCGCTCTTGACCGTTGCGATGGCGCCGAGTAGAGCGGCGGGGTTGGTGGCAGGCGTGGTGTCGCGAACCAACATGACGATCCTCCTCAACGGCGTGCCGGTGGTGCCCAACATGGTCGTCGCAAAGGACGGATCGGGCGACTTCACCACCATTCAGGTGCGTTGCGGCGCGTGCGATGTGCAGGATAACCTCGTTTTAGGAATACTTACAAAAGTGGGATATCATTACGAAGTTGAAAGCATGCGTCGTGGCCGCCGCGAGGAGGAGTGGGTAAGGTGATGCCGCTGGCCGGTGGATTTGACGGATGGACGGACGGCAGGTAGAATGGACGCGGGGGAGGAGTCGAAATATATAGGAGGAAGCAGTCAGATGGGAAGCGGGGGAAGGAGGAGGTAGTGAGACGACGTACCAGCTGCACATTGCTGGGCGATTTCTAAACAAGACTGCTGCCTAGCGACAGTCGCACGCTCGTGTGCTATTCGCCCGCACATCGCGCGTGCTCTTCTATATTCACGTGGCGAGTGTCTGGATGGGGCCTGACGTGGCATGGTGGTCGCTGTGTGACGTGGCAGGAGGCGATATACTACGTGCCGCCAGCGTATCTGCCGAATCAAGGGACGAAGATCTTCGTGAAGGCGGGGTGGTACAACGAGACCATCATCATCCGACCCTACATGGTGCGTTATATCGGGAGGATTATCTTTTAGGATTCTCAAAGGCGTCGCTCGCCCGCCGCGAGCATCATCATCGCAGCGCGCACTCCGCGCCTCCGCATGCTCCGTGCCACGCGTGACCGCATTGTGGCATGTTCGCCTCTCCACCCCCTCCAATGCTCCGCCCAAACCCTTTCCCCTCCCCCTCCCGCTTCCCTCTTCCCCCCTCTCTTTCCCCCCGCAGCGCTACCTGGCGCTGATCGGCGATCCCGAGAACGGCGGCAGCACGTTGTCGTGCAACCGCTACAGCGGCATGCTCAACGATAACGGCGACATGCTCTCCACGTGTAAGCACCGCACTTCCTCTACGTGTCGGCACCGCATTGGCTCGTCGTGCCCGCGCGCCCTTGTATGTCCTTGAAGCGCGCGACGGCCGTAATCGCCATTGCCCCGATCGATGTGCCCCCAGTCTGATCGTCCCTCGCTACAGTCACTCGCTTTACTCATCTTCCGTGCTGCCCCTGCCATCCCTCCCTCCCGCAGTAAACACGGGCTGCTTTGTCGTATTCGCGGACGATTTCACGGCTGTGAACGTCAACTTTGAGAACGCGTCGCCGCGGCCGCCGCCCAACAGCTACATCTACCAAGCGGTGGCCGTCAGAGTGACGGCCAACCGCACCGCGTTCTACAACTGCTCCATCAAATCGTTCCAGGTAGGCCTCGCCGCCGCCCTCATCTCCGACGACGTCAAAGTCATCGTCATCGTCATACCGTCACCTTCAGAGTCATTGGCGCGAACGCTGGTCAGAGTCCCTCCGTGCGAGCCGCACCGCCCCCACACCCATTCACCCACGCGCTTACCCCCTCCCCTCCTCCGCTTCCGCTTCCCCCTTCCCCTTCCGCCTTCCGCCTGTTTCCGCAGGACACGCTGTACGCGCACAAGGGGTGGCAGTACTACAAAGACTGTGAGTAGCGCAGCGGGGGGAAGCGGGGGGGAATGGGTGTGTGAATGTGAGGAGAGAAAGAGCTGCTCGTTTCCCAAACGACTCGTTGTTTTTCACTCATGTCCGGTTCCCCACGCTCCCCCACACTCCCTCACGCCGCCTCACGCTCCCCCTACTCTCCCCACCCCCACATTCCAGGCTACATCTTCGGGACGGTGGATTTTATTTTTGGGCAGGCGAAGGCGCGGTTCGAGTCGTGCGTGCTGCAGATGTCGAGCTACGGGTTCGCGTCGGTGACGGCGCAGAAGCGCGACATTAAAGACGACGACAACTGCTTCGTTATGGTGCAGAGCCGTATTATTGGACAACAACCCATCATCGCACAGGTGGGTTATTGTTGAAATGAGGGGAGTCGCGGGTGGGGGAGGGCAGGGGAGAATAGGAGGCATCAAGAAGGACGATACCTGTTTTGTGAAGGAGAAGGAGGGTGTTAAGAAGGATGGTGATTGGTTGGTGATGGTGTGGAGCAGGGCAGCGTCATCGTGCAGGTGCTGACAGGGCAATCGATCCAGGGGGGCAGGAACGGACCCATGGCCGCAGGAACGACCGCAGGGCACATAGCCGCAGGGCCCATGGCCGCAGAATCTAATGAATATTCTCCCTGCTGCCCTCGTGCGTGTGGCTTGTACCTGCAGGGGTGGCTGGGGCGGTCGTGGGGTCAATACGCGTGCACCATCTTCGCACACTCGTACATGGACGAAATCATCAACGCCGATGGTGAGAATAGGAAACTAGGGAACTTGCTCGTACTGGAAACTGTTTTTCAAGCACCTAGAGTAGTGTAGGTGACATGGTGCGATGCGCAGTGCAGTGTGTACGTGCGATTGCACGAGAGAACACCTAGGCCACACATGTCGTGAACAACATGAGGTGAGGGCGATGCTCTCCCTCCACCACGCATGCCTTGAACAACACGAGCATCTCCCTACCTGAGCTCTCTCCTTATATGGCTGAGTACAGCAACACCCTCTGCCTCTCCCACTGCCTTGCTCACATCACATTTCTCTCCCTCCGCCTCTCCTGCCTCCTCCCTCACATTTCTCTCCCTCCACCTCTCTCGTTGTCTCCCTCATATCTCTTTCCCTCCGCCTCCCCCACTTATTCCCCGGGCACAGTCACGCTCTCTCCGGAGCGTGAGGTGGAGGGAGTGAACAGTTTAAATTCGCTGGGTTTGAAACGCAGCAAGCCTACTACGCAGAGCACAACAACACGGGCTCGCTTGTCCCTCGCGCTCTCACCTTTCTCATGCTCCCTTCTCCCCGCTATTACCTTGTCTCCTCGCCTCCACCTCGCAGCGTGGAACAACTGTCCCACGGCCATCACATGTCCCATCCTCATACCTCTCTCCCTGCCCCTCTCCCACTTATTCCCCGCCCAGCGTGGAACAACTTCTACGTGCGGTCGAGGGAGTGGACGGCCTTCTATGCAGAGTACAGCAACTCTCTTGTCCCTTGCCCCTCCCTCAGAACTCTCTTGTTCCCTTCTCCCTCCCTATAATTCCCTAACCTTCCGCAGCGTGGAACAACTTTTATGTGCGGTCCAGAGAGTGGACGACGTTCTACGCGGAGTACAATCTGAGCCAATCTGGACGGGGCGGGTGCTGTGGCTCAAATCAGAGCACAGCAACACGGGCATTGGGTGTCCCTTGCCCTCCTTCACCTGCTCACTCTCTCCCTATCTCCCTCACCCCCTTTCCTTTGCTCCTTACCCCCGCCTCGCAGCATGGAACAACTTTTACGTGAGGTCACGGGAGTGGACAACCTTTTACGCAGAGTACAACAACACGGGCATCGGGGCCAACCTGGACGGGCGCGTGCTGTGGCTCAAGACCATGACGCCCGCCGCCCGCAGATACTTCCTCACCAAGTCATGGATCGGCCTCGACTCGTGGTTCCACCCCTTCCCCCAAATGATGTGAAATGCCGGTTAACGAATTATTATACAGAGGACTCGGTCAATGTGTTACAAAGTTGGCCAGTTGCCTGATACACATTTGTACCTAAAACCCTCGGAACCATTGGTGGGCTGCAAGGCTGGCGGGTGTGGAAGGAGGTTGAGTTGAGATGCTGAGCAGAGCCAGGGACGGCCTCAGGTGGAGTTTGAGTGGTGCACAGCATACCATACAGTACTCACAAGGTAGGGTAGCTACCATGGGAACCTGCAATGCAGGTGTTCCAGCCATGTATCGAACACGCCCTAATGAATAATGTGGCGTCTTGCCACATGTGCGTTCTGTAAGACATATATTCTAGTGTCACCATGAAGCTAGCATGGCCATGTGCTTGCGTGACCGACCGTAGCATATACCTAGGTAGTGCGAATAGATGTGCAGCTGAATGATGGCATTACATGGCATAAGCCTTGAACATGCACTGCAGAGCATGAACACAGCAGATGCCACACATCCGATGTGGGAAGGAGTACTGTCAAGTCTGACAGAATTAGTAACCAGCACCATGGACCATGCCGCCTGGCTGCCCCGTGTGGGCCCATGCACCCTGCTCCATATCACTGCCCCTGCTGCTGCTCACCACCACCATCGCCAGCACCCCCACCATCCTCCTGCCTGTACAGCTGCTCCAGCTGCTCTTTCAACGACCCCTTGCCCCCGCCCTTCCCCCCCTTCAACCCCCCCATCCCCATGCCCTTCCCCTTCGCTTTCCCCACCCCCGACCCATCCAGCCCTTGCCCTTGCCCGCCCCCTGCCGCTTGCCCCTTGCTGCCGCCGCCCCCAATTCCCCATTCGTCTGCCCCGCAGGCACATTCCTTCACGTTGAGGTTCGCCCCGCACCCGAGGCACATGCCTCGGCACCCGGGGCTGCACCGGACCTTGAGAGGGATCTCTAGGTGCACCGTGTCACGCACGTACTTAGAGACGTCTATAATCCGCTGGTCCGGGGGGAAGTAGAGCTTATCGTCGAGGTCTAGGTCTAGCATGTCGCCCTCGTCGCCATCGTCATAGTCGGCAGGGAGCGAGTTAAAGCTGGAGGAAGGCGCATCGAGGATGACCCCTAGGCTGCGCTTCGTGGGCTCGTGGAGGGGCGACGCGGAGAGTAGCAGGCTGAACTCGCTATAGATGGGCTCGGTAACAGGGCATAAGCACCTGGTGAGGACGGGAGAAGGGGTTGGGATTTGGGGATTAGGGTAGAGGAGAGAACGAGGAGTGAGGGATGGGGCGGGATAGGGGAGTAAGGGCGAGCGGGACATTTGAGTGGAACTAATATGTTCCTGTTATAAGCTCACCTGTGGCACTGCATGGCGAACACCGTCTGCGCAGTGCCGTCCAGCCTTATATCGCGTCCCACTTTAGAAGAACGCATGCGCACCACCACAGCTGTACCCTCCGCCTCCCCCTCTCCATCGGCTCCCGTGCGCTCATCTTGCGGAATTTCCGCCATCAGCGTCTCTGCGGCCTGCGCGCGGGACGCCGCGGAGGAGAGATGCGGAAGCGCGAGGCGCTCCAGAGAGGTAACGAAGACGAATTCCTGACGAGCCGCGCTACGTCGGTAGACAACGGCGCCGAGCCAAGGCTCGCCCTCCTCCAAGGCAGCGAGGTCCGCTGCCGAACCTCCAGATTCGGGTCTGTTCGAACCCTCGGCTCGAGTGACTAGCCGATTCGACCTTGTGTTTGAAGAACATTGATAGCCAATGCTAACTGTCGATCGAAAGCTTTGAGGTTTGAAAGGAACATGATGCTTCTTCTCATGAGCTTGATCAAAGCTGTGGGAGCATGCATGTGGTCTCGAGTAACTGGATCCGCGTGATAGCGATGGCGACACGCGAGGAACAATCTTATTCCGCACGATAGGTGGACTGACAGTGAAACCTAACGACCCCATAATGTCGAGGCGGCTGGGACGAACAATGACCAGGCGTGTTAGGGCGGTGCTGCGGTGTAAAAGCGAGACAACGCAGCAGCACTCATTAGCTATTGAAATACACTCCTGCAAGATAGGGAGAACGAGCCCACTTTTCCTGGTTACCATACGCTGTCGTTAGCTCTTCGTTTGAGACGATCGAAATATTCGTTCCTTGCGTTGATCACGGAAATTCAACCCGCCAACGAGATCCACCGTCCGTACTGGTCATGCTTGGCGCAAACTCGAGAACACCTGTCCACCTGTCCACCCTGTCCGCCAACGAGAAGACCGCTCCACCGCACTCAACCACAAACACATCTACAGTGCAGTCCCAAGGGTACTGTAGCGCCATACAGTGATTTGTGCGTCGTGTAAGGGGCGGAGTGCCTTGGAGTGGAGTGGTTTGGAGCGAGGTGGAGGGATTGGAGCGGAGGGAATCCCGACGACAGCTGTTGCGTTGGGATTGGGGTTGGTCGAGTTGAGTTGAGTGTCAGGTCAGGCAGGTCGCCTTGGGGTTGGAAATGCAGGAATCCGGGTGCAAGTGCAGACGAGGAATCCTATTGCAAGCACAGCCTTCTCGCCTATTTTTGCTTGCTGTTTCCAGTCTTCCATTTCGAAGCACAAGGCTTCTCCCTCCTGTGCATCCTCGTGCCATTCCGCCATGGCTAGTTGTAAGGAAACGCAGCGGTTTGCTTAGATATTGGGTAGGATCCACGTAGAAGCATAAGTACGGATACATTGATTAAACTGTTACGGCTCTTGACCTACTGAGAATACGGGCCTACCTGACAGAAACTGGTTAAGTTACCTGGCAGGATCCTTACGACTGATGGATGAAGGTGCGACCCACGAATCCGTGGTAGCTCAATCTGCGTCTCCAGCGATGGATTTGTCGCCAAAGGCCAAAGCAGCCGACAATAAAGTATATAAGAAAGCAAATTCGCTCAATGATCGCGTGTCAACGATGACGAAGCAACTAGTATCGAAGACAGCGGTCTTAGGCGAGGAAATGGCGTCGAGAACGAAGGCCGTGGGTGCAGAATTCGTATCCAGATCTGAAGCGGTGGTGTCGAAGACTGCGAATATCGCGGGGGAGATGGTGTCGAAAACGACGCAATTCAAGGAAGCCCTGAAGACCTCGCTCACCTCGCTAGGGAGCCGTCCACAAGCCACTAGGTACGCCCAGATTCATCGCAGCCGTCGATCGGTCGTTGCTCACCTAGCAAGCGTCTGCATTGCTTGTACTACACAGCAAAATTGTTCTTGATGCACCTCATGAACTGACCCTGCTAGGATCTCCTGCATTTCCATCTCGCAAAGCTAAATATTTTTATTTTCAACGCAGATCTACTTGCTCAACATGTTCTCTGTTGTTGCTTGTGTAGCGCAAAGTGCTTTCGTTCCCCGTCGGCTTGGCTTGACCTTGAGCTTGAGCTTGTGGTCGAGCACTGGCGTCAGCTGATGCTGCAGCGGAAGAACATAACTTTCGTTCTTAATCGTCACTCATGTTCCCGTTCCCCAGTCCTCGTTACCGTTTTCTCTTTCATAAATTCCAAGATGTACATTTGCTTCCCTGGATTCGTTTCCGCTTCTTTTTATCCCGTTGCACTTGTGCTGCCGACTTCAGCACGAAGGTTGACGCTGACGTGGCAGAATACGACTGCACCGAGAGCACCGACGTCTTGGCGCCTCTGCAGAGTCCGTCGAAGCACCGTCAGGCTCGGACGAGCCCCCGGGGCAACGCGTATCCTTCCCTCTGGTCTGACGTTGACCGCTTCCTTCCAAGCGATCTCCCCGCCAGTGATCCTAGCCTAGAGACAGGCGATGAGGAGGAATCGGACGGCACACATTCGACACGTGCCATCTTAACTCCTGACCAATCAGAGCCTTCGATCGCACCCGATCAGCTCCCAATCGGCTTTACGCTCCCCAGCACGCAAGTTCCTGAGATGAACGGCCCAGATCATTCCGAGTCAGAGGGCGTTGACAGTGGAGGAGAGGGGTTTGTGGTTCCTCGGTTGGGGCATGAGGAGCACGGGGCGGGGGAAGGGGAGGAGGGCAAGAAGGAGCAGGGGAGGGGTGGGAGTAGGCGAGCGCAAGAGGAGGAGTTTAGCATGAATCTGTGGCTCGTGGGGAGCGGCAACGGGGGAAGCAGCACCACCAGCAGCACCGCCGGTTGGTTTCCCGCGAGCAGCTCGCAGACGCAGGTCACTCTTGCTGCCCCGGGCTGCGTGCTCGCCCCCTCCTGGAGCATCAGCGGATTCTCAAACACCCAATCGCAAGGAGATGCGGCGGGGAAGGAAAGGGAGGGGAGAACAGGAGCGGAGGCTGAGGTAGAAGGGGGTGGTAGGAGCGGGGGGGAAGCAGAAGGGGGGGATGACGCAGCAGAAGGGTGGCACCCCACGCCTCCCGCGGTGGTGCAGAGCCCGTTCGGGGTTTCCGCGCACCTAGAGGGGCCAGAAACGGGGCAAGCGGAGGAGGGCGGGGACATGGATCGGGTGTGGGAGGAGCTGTACGTGCAGAGGGAGTGTGCGTCGCAGCCGTCGTCCCCCAAAGAGTCCAGAGGCGCGCTGCCCGCCATCAAGCGCCTGCTTGTCGCGCGCAGGGAGTCTGTGCAGCGCTCAGACAGCCTGGCCAGCACTGACAGCCGCAGCAGCATCTCACGCCACGCCACTGTGGGGAATGACGGCTGGCAGCAGCTGGAAATGGCGGGTGCGGAGGGAGACGTACCACGGCAGCGGCGACGGCGGCGGCGGCGGCATTCCATGGACTCAATCCACCTGGAGGCGTCGGGGTTGAAGCAGAGGGCGGCGAGCGAGCTCGCCATGCACCGCTCGCCGCCGTCGCCGTTAAGCCCGTCCTCTCAAGGCCCCTCCCTGCGCGTTGCAGAGGGCACCCATGCAGGGTGGCAGGGGCAGCAGGGTGTGAGGAATGGAAGGGCGATTCCAGTGGCCCGCCAGGTCCCGTCGCCGCTACAGCCGCCCTCTCCTCGCCTGCCGGCGGTGCGATCTTCTCCGCTCATGAGCTACGAGCACCCAGATATATACCCTCCGTCAATGCATTCACCTCAGTCGAAGCAGTCGCCTCGGTCAAGGCTGTCACCTCGGTCAAGGCAGCCCCCTCAGTCGAGCAATTCTCCGCATGTCAAGCAGTCCCTTCCATCAGTGCAGTCCCCTCCGCTGAAGCAGTCTCCTCGGTCAATGCAGTCTCCCCAGTCGAGGCAGTCATCTCAGCCAAGGCAGTCGCCTCCGTCAATACAGCTGCCTGACCCAAGGGACGCCTCTCACTCAATGAGGTCGCTTCAGTCAAAGCATTCGCCTCGATCAATGCAATCGCCTCAGCCAAGCCAGGACCCTCACTCAGTCAACTCGCCTCAGACACGACAGTCGACCCATTCAAGAAAATTCACGCATTCACTCTCCCCGCCAGCAGAGCAACAGGCATCACTTTCTAGGGGCTCTTCTGGCCTCACACATGCCAAGCAATCCTCGCCCAAGGCCGCTAGTCCACGCAGAGTGATTGGCAAGTGCTACGGCCTCCCACATACCACGTCTGACTTGACAAATGCGTCCTATTGCGTCTCTTCTGATGCCGGCCACACTCGCCCTGGCTCCAGTGCATCGCCCCGCCGCCGTGCTGCTGTCCCAATCCATGCCCCGAAGCTGCAGCAGTGCATGACGGGCGCACTGGGCCATGAGGGCCACGAGGAGGAGAAGGCGTGCATGCGTGTGCTGTCTGGGGATGGCTCGTGTGTGAGTGAAACCAGCAGCATGCGCATCTACCATGTCCCTTCTAGACCCATGGCACCCAGCAGCACCGCTCCTGATCGTTCCAGCCTGCATCAGAAGCAGCAAAAGTGGCCGGCCCTTGAGGTGCCCCCCAGTCCTGACGGCGTGTCACCGCATGCTACTGGCGTGCGATGGCTGAAATCTGCTCCCGTATCGCCATCCGGTCACCTTGTTTCACCACTGGCCACTCCTGCCGTGACTTCCTGGGACGAGCCATGCCGGATCGACCACAGAGCCTTTGTTAGGCTTTATACGGATGAAGGCGATGCAAGTAACCGGGCTAGCATGTGGGATATATCACGGGAATGCGGGGGTTCTGAGAGGTTGGGATCCTATAGTGACAAGAGGAAGCGGCGGGCGCAGAACTTAAAGAAGCTGTTTCCATGGTGGCGTGCTGCACCTCCAGCACAATAGACTTCAGGGTTTAGAGTTTGTAGTGCATCTCTATGCCCACAAAGCGCCGAAACGTTGAGCTGTGGACCATGTTAGAATGTCCCCCGATCGGCAGGGGACACATGTGCATGATAGCATATCCAAGAAAGTGATTACCTGGCGTTTAAAACCGGGGTGCACATTCAGCTGAATGTGCATCAAAGGTTATCCCTTGACTGAGTGGGTTACGAGGTGTGCTTTCAACCCCTTCAAGTCGAAATTCGTTTCCCCCCTCCCCCGCAATTCGTTTCCCCACGCCCCCGCAATTTCATTTCCCCCTCCCCGTCGAAATTCGTTTCCCCCCTCCCCCGCAATTTTGTTTCCCCCCTCCCCCGCAATTTCGTTTCCCCCCCCTCCCGCCAATCTGTTTCATCCCTCCCGCCATTCGGTTTCACCCACTCCCGCCATTTCACCCCCTCCCGCCACCTACGAAATGCCCGAAGCTCTAGCGGAATCATTTTTTTGTCGCCCCTCGTGAGCCAATCACTGTTTTTCTTCAAACCCCCTTCCCAACATCTCAAGCCGAACCGCGTTGAATGTGCACCCTGGTTTTAACCAGAGCATGATGATTTACAACCAAGCATCCATAACAGCTATACTGTTTTGGAACTTTAATTGGGGAAATGCATTAATCCGTTCGACCATTTGTAGTTGAGTCCGAGTAGCATAGGGAGGTGTACAGCTGGGGATCAGCTTTGATTCCACCAATTTCACTCGCCGGCGCGGAAAGGTCGAGGAGAACCCACCTTTCAGTTCAGCCCCACCTTTTCTTGCGACGTTCACTCATTTTGCGCCTCTATGTTCCCCTCCCCTCCCAAACAGCTGGCCCGCCCGCCATTGACTGACCAATGTTCGGTGTGGTCGTGTCGACGATTTCGCTGATCATCGCACGACCGGACCAGGATGTTCTCGAAGAAATCTCCTGCCTAGCTTTGTCAGGGGCAGCTTCGGACCAATCAGCGCAAGAGCTATAAATTTCCAGACTACCTGACCGATTGTTTGGCAGATGTTTCCAATTGTTGGTCCCCCCACGGGACGCGTCTCCAAGTTCCCCCGACACTCCGCATCAGATGGGCGGAGCCGCGGAAGTACGCAAGCTGGCGGGCAGCGGGCAGCAGGAAACTGCTCTCTGGGTTTGGCTGGGCCAGCAGCAGCTGGCATGTGATGTGATGGCGAGAACAAGGCAAGGAAGGACGCCACTCTCGCGATGACTGTCGCGGATTGCGCTGATCCGAGTCGAGTCATTCAATACTGCCGGAAGATCTTCATTTTAGTTGCCGATGTGACGGCACACTCGAATCCTGTGCTGCACTAATAGGTTAGGTGTTTCGTCGCTCTGTGACCAGCAAGAGGCGTTAGTAGATAGGCAAAGAAGCCACTTGATTTTTATCTGCATGCATCACTGTAGAGTGACACGCGTACCAGGATGGCCGGTGATTCTCCTCAAGAGCAGTCATCTTTCCGCGGCGCATCCTTCAATGGAGGATCGATGAGGTACAACACACAATACATGGTTTCGATGCACTTTCCGTAATGAATCTCGTCGCCTTGTCTAGACGTATGATTGAAACGGTGCGTCGTCGCTCTGAATCACTCCACTCTGCTTTCCACTCCTCTCCTTCTCAAGTTGAACACTTCTTCTCTTTCTCAATTTCCCTCTATCGGACCAAAACAATCAGGGACCTGCTGGATGCTGACGCGGGACAAATCAAAGAGGAACGTGCCGCGTCACGAGGGAATTCCTGTGAATGCGGAGCTCTCGAGGCGTCCGCGTGCATTTGCAGCACCGACGCGTCGTCCCCCTCGCCCTCCGCGCGCAAAGGCACGACCAAGCCCAGCAGCAGCTTCCGCTTCTTCGCGTCGCTCAACCGCTCCGTCAGAATCGAGATTCCCGACGACACCCTTCCGCACCTGCCGGTTTCGCAGAGCCTACCAGACCCTCCCACAGACTCCGCCGCTCTTTGCGGTGCTCGCGATCCGAGAAGCACGTTAGAGCTTTTCCACTCGTCGTCGCAGCCGCCGTTATGGCAGCCCAGCTCACCCGTCGGCGTGCGCAGTCAGTACGCGGAAGCGATTCGGGAGCGCGCTCGGCGCGCAATGGAGTCGCAGGAGGCGATGGACAGCGCGTGGGAGGACCTGCACGTCGCACAGGTCGCACAGAGCACGCCGACGTCGCCGTGTCGGTCGCCCGGCGCCATGAGCATGGTGTCGCCCAAGTCGCTCAGGCGAATGCTGCTGGCGCCCGTGCGTGCACCCACGTCAGCGCGCAAAGCCAGCAGCAGCGCAGCGGGCTCGTGCGAGAGGGAGGCGCGGGGGACAGGGTCCGCGCGCGCGAGTGCGCCGAGAGGGGGAGGGTCCGCCAGCGAGCGCGAGAGCGGGCGGCGCACCAGATCGCTGAAAGGCAGCGTCGAATGTCCTGAGAGCGTGGACTGGTCAGGCGGGCTATCTAGTCGAGAGCCTGAGAAAAGGCAGAGCGTTTCTAGCCCTAGGATGGCTCGAAATCTAACGGTGGACGTGAGGCGCGCAAGCGAGAGCACCGCCGGTTGCGCCGACCTTGACTTTTTCTCCTCCGAGTGGGAATTTCCCGCCGCGCAGAGCGTGCCGTGCGCGCGCACGGACGCGGCTGCGGATTCCCCCCCGGACTCCCCGCCCGCGGTCTTCGGGAACAGCTGCATGCCTCCCGCCGTCTCCGCTGGTCTCCGCATCATCTCCTCGCCGCGCTCCCCCTCCCTGCACCTACCCTCCTTTTCCTCCCTCTCGCATTCTGTAACCTCCTTGTCCCCGCGCTCCCCCTCCCGCCACGTCCCCTCTTCCTCCCTCGCGCTCCCCTCTCCGCGCGCCAAGGGCAAGGCCTCCCCTCCCGCCCTCCGCAGCGCGCACTCGTGCTCGGGCCCTCTCAGCCCGCAGGTTTCGCGGAAGGTTCCTGCGTGGGAGGAGGAGGAGGTGGCGGTGGTGGGGAGGCTGCTGGCAGCAGGTGTGGGGGAGATCGCTGTGCCCGCCGCTGGCGCCAATGGGAGGAAATAGGGGGAGGGGGGGGAGATCACCGTCTGTGCGCCCGCTGTTCCCGCTGTGCGCACTGCTGGGAAGGAGTAGGGGTTGGGGGGGAACGGTGTTGGGGGTGAGGGAGGGCGGTGGTGGGAGGAAGCAGGGCGGTGGTGGGCATAGAGAGGAGTGTGATGGAAGATAGGGAGGTTCTGAGACGAAGGGGAGGGAGTGAGTGTGATTTGTGCAGTGGCAGCTGGGGCTGACTGCTAAGCAGAGTGAAGCAGCTGGGAGCATGTGAGATGGTGGGAGTGAAGAGGCTCGTGGGACTGACATGAGAGACGTGAGAAACGGTGGGAGGCACGGTGCTGAATTGAATCTGGTTGACTGGCATGGTGTCTCTGCCTCACACCCTCTATTGAGTGCAGCTTCATCCGTACCCATCTTACACATTTCCTGACATACTAACTTCCAGTCTTTATGTTTGACATGCATGCTAGCTCCTTTCCTCTTAGGAAATGTGTTGAGTGGACCAGGTGTGTTTTCTGAAGGAGCGCCCGCCTCCCAGTACACGGGGAGCTGATTACCAGCTCCAATTTGGAATGTGTTATCCTTCTCTGCGTGCTCATGATGATGTTAGTATCCTTCTCCGTTTATGTCCTCGTAAAGTACAACAACATGGTGAGTAATTAATGCATTGATTAGAATCAGTATCTTGTTATTAGCACGTCTGTGCACCAGGGGTTAATCACAGAGCAGGGACAATACATCAGAGTAACATTGCACAGATACCATATATGTATACAGTAATTGTAGCCTGCCTTAGGACTTGTCCGCCGCGTGAGGAGACGGCGGCATTATTATGAGGAGCGGTGGCATCAACAGGCTTGCAGCGGAACTCTCTGCCGGGGAACACACACACTCTTCACCGCTCTTGCAGCCACCTCATGCGGTGGAAGGAGAGGCTGCAGCAGAGGTTCGCTCTCCCCGCTGCTGCTGTCCGTAATGTCGTTATCGTTGCTTCCCACTGCTGATGCTCTTGCACCTGCAGCACCTGCGGCACCAGCGGCGGCGGCAGCAGGTGCAGCAACAGCCCTGGCAGTCACATCCACCTCTGAGGCATCCCCACCAGAGAGGGAGACAGCAGCGTGACAGGCAGGCGAAAGGGGCGCTGGCCAATCATGGTCCGAGAGCGAGTAGGTTCGGACCCGAACCACGGGGCTGAAGGCGACGCGCCGAGGCTGGTGGCTGCGGGTGGAGGAGGGGGGCGAGGAGGCGGAGCGCAGGCACGAGGGCAGCGCTGAGTGCGCGCGGATGATTGGCGCTGCAGCAGAGGCGCGCAGGCAGGGGGGGGTGATGGGCGTGAGGGGCGTGAGGGGCGTGAGAGGCGTGGGGGGAGTGAGGGGCGAGGGGGACGGGGAATGGGCGCACGGGGAGTGGGCGCAGGGGGAGGAGGCAAGGCGGGGGATGAGCATGCGGGGGGGAGCGTGATGAAGGGGGAGGGAGGCGCTCAGGGGATGCGAGGCAGAAGCGCGCGGCGCCATGGATTGGCTGCTGCGCTGCGCTGCTGGCGCGGCTGTTGGACGCGGCAGTTGAGGGGACGACGCGGGCACGGCAGTGGATGGGGAGGGGGAGGGCGAGGGCGAGGGAGATGGAGGGAGGCGGGTTCGACCGTGCTGCTGCTGTCGCTGAGGCTGCGATGACGCCTGCCGCTGCTGCGGTGCAAGTGACTCAACAGGCGGTGACTGTAATGAAGGGCGATGACGTGGTGACTGCCGCTGGCGGCACGTGCCGTGTGCGGCGTGCATGAAGGCCGCCCGCGCGGGCATGTGTGTCCATGCGTGCGGCAGACACCCGCCGTCCTTGGCTGTAGCTGCAAGCGCCATTGGAATCTCCTCGCTGTCCTCCGCCTCCTCCTCCTCCTCCTCCTCCTCCTCTTCCACCACCGGCGCCACCGCACAGCTTCGCCTTAACGCGCCCTGTCTCTCCGCCTCGTCTGCATATCCGCCCATCTCGCGCCGCTCCTCACGGGCTGCTAGCTCTGGTGTGCTGCGGGGGAGGGAAAGCCGCGCGCGGGCGGCGACAGGCGCGGACGCGGTGCGCACGAGCGCACGGAAGCCACCGCGATGCGGGTTGAGAGTTGCATCCGTCTGCGCAGGCTTTCCCTCAGGAGCGCGCCTCGCCGCCATAACTCGTTCCTTGTTTTGCGGCGGCGTCGCGTCAGCGTCGAAGCCCGCCAACAGCGCACCGTCCGATGTCAGGCTCCGCGAAAGCCGCCGCACTCTGCGCTGCTGCGACTGCCGCGACTGCCGCGAGCAGGGTAGCTGGGACGGCGGTGACGTGGCCGCCTCATCGTCTCGCGCGATTGCGTCGTGATCCGTAATCACGACACGGCTCCAGCCGGTTTTGCGACACGACGTTTTGTGCTCGACCTCGCTATCATGTGGCACGTCATGATGATCTGTTTGATCCGAATTTCCAGCATTTTTCGGCGATTCACGTGGAGATCTGCGCCAGATCGACGGCAGAGAGGAGATCGACCACGTGCGCGTCACTTCGTTGGGAGATTGTCCGCCGCCCGCGCCGCCAATTCCGCTGCTGGTGCGTGTGATTCTAGATGGCTTCGTTAGCGGGAACGACGGCGCCCTGAGGCCGAACAGGCTCGTTGGTTTGTTATGCGAACGAGATGGCGAGAATTCAGACGAATCGCCTGGAAGAGCGGCAGCAGCGGCGGCCGCCGCAAGAACGGTTTCCGCCTCCTCCTCCGCCTCAGCCCATGCCGATTCCATCGCCCTGGCGCGTCCGTTCGCCATCGCCGCCATTTTTTTGATCGCGTTCGCGTGCGGGCTCTTAACGGCAACCGGCGACGGCGGCATCCACGAGAGGGACCCGCTTGCCGTTCGCACGTGCCATTCCACAGGACTTCTCCCATGGTTGTGGGATGATGCGACGAGTTTTGAAGTCGTGGCATCTGATCCGTCGAATTCGGATGAATACGAGTCGACGATTGAGTAAGTATTGCCTAAGCTGTCGAAGGCTTCTGCCGATGAGTCACCGTCTTGGGGAATATCGATTCGTAGCTTCGTCATCATGGCGCTTTTCTTCAAACAAGGGATCTAGTATTACCGTTCTTGCTTTTACTAAAAGCTGTTATCGTGACGCCAACAAGACATAGATAAAGAAGGCTTGTTTTTCACCAGTGAGCGGGAGGCGAAAGAACAGTGGAGTGGTGGAGAGAGATCATTAGAAGTGACGACGAGCTATGACGCAAGGATAGCAGTCCTACAATAAGTCGAGAGCAGATCGACATCCGATAGTGATGTCGAGGCGCCGGGTGGCGAGACGCGGTCCTATGGGAGCTGATGCGGTTGGTTGTGGTGCGGTGGGGCAAAATATAACCACCTCCATAACAAGCAACGCTGAAGGACGGAGGTGGTGGGTGGAACACGTCACTAGCGCCGCACGCTTGACAACACCGCACGCGTGGCCAGGCTTGCAAGAGAAGGTCACCGCAGCCCAGTCAAGTCGCGCATCGCACCGTTGCACGGATGACGGTGCGGGCGCCAACCAGCTGGGCGAAATCCAAGTCAAGCTGGTTGTCTTTGCGCGGGTTGTCTGTTATTGTGCCACAAAACGACACAAGTGGGAAGTTGTCTGTTGCTGGGACAGGCGGGAGGAAAGGGGGTAGAAAACTTCCGCTACGCTACGGAAGAATTCTGCTCTTTGGAAATTCCATGAGCTGTCCAGCTGGCTGCCGGGTGTACCCGGCAGGCAGGCAGTGGCTGGTCTGTTGAAGGACAAAGTCTGCCAGTTGTACGAACCTATCTGTGCTGGAAAAGATTCCTAACCTCGCTGCCCTCGATCTGGGGGTGGAGTTGCGGATGGGATGCAAGTGTCTGGTGTAGTGGGGCACCTCTTACCTAGAGCGAACCGCACTTGAACGAATGTGCGTTCACTTTATTACCGTAAAATTTATCAGTGCAACCGACATGAGCGATGCCAATATGAAAGAACCCGAAATTCTAGGGTGTTAATTTCTACCAGATGAGTAGCATCTATAAAGAGTTGGGGCGGGAAAACTGACTGTTGCCTACAAATATTGATTTCATCCAAAACAACCCAAAAGTCGGTGATTGCGTCTGGAGGAAAGAAACCACACACCCTGATTTATCTTCCTCAGACCCCTCAGGTCCTATGCTCGGAGTGCACAGCTCACTCGTCGTTTACCGATAGAATCGACTTCGATAGGTTTGCATAGAATGTTCTAAAACGTTTGTGACATTCAAGTTAGCTTGCAATCATCCAGCTTACAGACATAAAAAACTAATTCTGGAGCAACTAACTTCCCTCTAGTCAGTGACTGCACAGCATTCGGCATTCGGGTAGTTAACAGCTGCCTTTAACAATAAACTCTTTGTATCACTTCATGTGGCAACCAAGAGTCCTCAGGCACCTCAATTCTCTGCTGGTGGGGGCGGAGCCTCCGTCGACCCTTGAGGCCGGGGACTCTTCCTAACGGTCTTAACAAAGTCTGCAAACGAAACGTCTCGCACCCATCCTTCGGCAAACTCGTCGTCTCCAACGACCTCAGAGCACGTGGAGTTGAAGACAGCGAGGTCGTGCAGGTTGGGGTACCAGTTCTTGTGCACCTCACTGAACCCCGCATGCACTCCGTTCTCGTCCGTCTCCCGCACGTCATAGTAGCCCAGAATGCCCGCCTGCCATGCCAAGGTTGAACGGGGATTGGGAGGAGAGAATGTAGGCCATGGAGGAGAGAAAGGATGGAGCCATGAGCACGATATGCTTGATAATGTGCAAGCACGAGAAGTAACAGGACCAGGGAAAGGGGAGAGGCATGAGATGGACGGGACAGTGCAGTAGACGTCAGAAAGGAAGGAAGACGCGATCGACAGGACAGGATGGGTGGAGCGTTGCGATCGACAGCAGCACCATGAGCCGCACCCAATGCAACGCAATGAGCAGCATGCAACGCAATGAGCAGCATGCAACGCAATGAGCAGCATGCAACGCAATGAGCAGCATGCAACGCAATGAGCAGCATGCAACGCAATGAGCAGCATGCAACGCAATGAGCAGCATGCAACGCAATGAGCAGCAGCAGCACTGAGCACACCTTCCTGGGGTTGGTGAAGTGCGACCGCTGCCCCGCCTCCCCAATGCACGTCTCCTTGTCCCCCCCCTCGTCCGAGCACTGCGCATCCTTCCGCCGAAACGCCAGCCACTCCACTGCAAATGGCGCCGCCTCCCGCCGCCCCTCCCACACACCGGGCGGCTGCATGCGCAGCCCGTCGCGGCACTTCACCGGCGACCACTCCTGCGTGCCCACCGTCACCCACGACCGGTCCTCATGCTGCTTCAGATACTCCAGAATGGAGGCGGGCGGCGGCACGAAGAGGTAGGAGTCGGGGGGGAGCACGGTGACCCAGCGCGCGAGGAAGGCGGTGCTGTGCAGGCAGTCCAGCGCGCTCAGTGGGTGCGCGTCGTTCTCCATGCGGAAGGGCGCCAGGTGCCTCGTGGGGATGACCTGGACAGTCTGGTTGGTGAACCAGCCACGGGTCGAGGACAGAGGAGAGAGGTGAGCATCCATAGAACCGGCATCGTACAAGCGGACGAGGCGAGAGAGAATCACACCTTTTGAGTGGAGTGGAAACACACACCTGGTTGGCGAGCCACGGGTCGAGCACGGCAGCGAGGTGCGCGTCCATGGAGCGAGAGTCGTAGAGGCGGAAGAGGGGAGCCTTTTGAGACGACTTGAAACACACCTGGTTGGCGAGCCATGGGTGACTTTTGAGTCGACTCAAAAGTCACCTCGAGACGACTTGAAACTGACCTGGTTGGAGAGCCATGGGTCGAGCACGGCAGCGAGGTGCGCGTCCATGGAGCCGGCGTCGTAGAGGCGGAAGAGGGAGACGCCCACGTGCCAGTGGTACGACAGCCACTCGTACATGGGCCGCGGCTGCACGGCGTGTGCCAGGCGCACGGCACACACGGCGAGGGTGTGCGGGAGGGCGTCCTCCCTGGGCGGGTCGATCACATGCTCCTCGCCCTCCTCCTCGCTGCATAGGGGGAGAGGGGGGGAGGCGGGGGGTGTGGAGCGGTCGAGGAAGGGGTGGTGTGGGGAGCATGAAGGTGGGGCCGGTGGGAGAAATTGGAGGCTTGGAGCGAGGGAAGGGTATGCACAGAAGGGTGTGACTAATCCAGAACAGCTTGCTAGCTAATAAAGGGTATAGACGGGCTATTCAAATTACCAGAAGAGCTATTCGAGGTACCGGAAGGGCCTTTTCAAGGTACCGGAAGGGCTACTAGCGGGTACGCACCGGAAGGCTCTGAAGTCCTCCCCGGCGACGGTGAGAAAGAGATCCCCGCCCATGGTGCCCGTGGCCGCCTCAAAGTCGCACTGGAGGGAAGGCAGGCGGGCGAGTGCAGGAGGGGTGGGCAGGAAGGGGTGTTTCACAGGCTTGGGGTTTAGATTTAGAAACACGTTCACATGCAATGAAGCAGGTGGGATCTGTAGCTGTCTGTAGCGGACAGGTGGGCTGCGGAGGCCTTACTTCCATCAATCTTGTGTGGTTCTTAGGACGACACGACAAACCCCATTGTTCGGGTGAGATGATGGAAGGAGCCTGGTTTACTGCGAGCTAGAGTGTTTTCTAGACGAGAGCCAGTTTGAAGCAGGTTCACATGCAATGAAGCAGGCGGGATCTGTTTTGGGGAAGGAGATTCTCCACTGTGGCGGGAAGATGATACCCGGGATGAGTAGGCACGGCACAGCACGGCACGGCACGGCACGGCGAGGCGAGGCAAGGTGGCAAGACACACGGCTAGATGAGGCGCGCACCTTGATGAGCACGGCATCGCACCTTGATGAGCACGGCATCGCACCTTGATGAGCACGGCATCGCACCTTGATGAGCACGGCATCGCACCTTGATGAGCACGGCATCGCACCTTGATGAGCACGGCATCGCACCTTGATGAGCACGGCATCGCACCTTGATGAGCACGGCATCGCACCTTGATGAGCACGGCATCGCACCTTGATGAGCACGGCATCGCACCTTGATGAGCACGGCATCGCACCTTGATGAGCACGGCATCGCACCTTGATGAGCACGGCATCGCACCTTGATGAGCACGGCATCGCACCTTGATGAGCACGGCATCGTAGGTTTCCCACCCGTTGAGCCCTCCATACGCCACCTTGGCCTCGCCCTTGCTGCCCGTGCTGCTCGCATTGCCTCCCTCCGCCCACACACACTTCAACTCGCCCCTGGTGCCATGCCATGCCATGCCATGCCATGCCATGCCATGCCATGCACACACACACGACTGGTCATGGTGAGCAATGGCCATTGGGGTGACACCCAGACAGTCACATCGTCACTCCATGTTAACATTTTCTTGAAGGACTCGAATGAAAGCACCCTCCCACATTTTCCCCTCCCCCAGGACCCCACATTCCCCCTACCCCCCTCCAGCGCCCCAGCGCTCACAGGTGGTCCTTAAGGAAGTGCGCCCCCAAGCCCTCACCCCTCCCCCCTCCCCGCAGCGCCTCACCCGTCCCCCCTCCCCACCTCCCTTAGCGCCTCACCCCCTCCCATTCCCCCCCAGCGCTCACAGGTGGTCTTTGAGGAAGTGCGCCCCGAAGCCCACGATGGCGAAGGAGCGCGCCGACAGGCGGTACGCACTGAACTGGATGAACCCGTGGGGGCCGCGCGCTATGGGCTGGGGGGGGAGAGGAGGGGGTGGGTGGGTGGTGTGGAGCGGATGAATGAATGAATGGGTGGGCAGTGGGAGCAGAGGCCGACAGGCGGTATGCACTGAACTGGACGAACCCGTGCGGGCCGCGCGCTATAGGCTGGGGGGGCTAGGAGGGGAGGGCGAATGCATGGGTGGGCGCATGAGGGCGTGAGGGGGAGAAGCACAAGCAGAGGACAGGCGGGCTGCAGTGGGCGCAGAGGCGGACAGGCGGTACGCACTGAACTGGACGAATCCGTGGGGACCCCGGCACTATGGGCTGGGGAAGCATGGGTGGGCGGATGAATGAGAGGACCAAGGAGGGCGTGCGGGGGAGGAGCACAAGGCGCGACTGGCAGTGGGTGCAGAGGCGAGTCAGTGGGTGGGATCTAAGGCAGGGCGCACCTGGAAGGGCAGGGAGGGCGCACCTGGAAGGGCAGGGAGGGCGCACCTGGAAGGGCAGGGAGGGCGCACCTGGAAGGGCAGGGAGGGGCGCGACACGTGTCTGTGGAGCGGTGCGATGCGCATCTCGTAGTCCGCATAGCCGCGCCACGTGATGTCCTGGATGCCAGCTGGCGGTAGAGACGCGTGACGTGCCACGTGTGCCATGTGACGTCATCATGACGGAGGTCATGGGGGGGAAGTGGAAGGGTGGGGGGCAAGGGAATTGGGGGGGGGCGGTCGGCGAAGCAGGGGAGGGAGGGGAAGAGGAGGTTCGGCGGGGGTGAACGAGGGGAACGGGAGTGGCAGATGACAACAATCACAGGCAGGATGGGGTTCATGATGTGGGGAGAAGCGGGGAAGGCAACGGGCGGGGCAGGGAGGGAGGGGCTTGCATAGCGTGTCGAGAAATAGCGGCGCGTCGACGATGGAGGGCGGGGGGCGCAGCGAGAGCGCAACGCTGAACGCCACGAGCGCCACCGCCAGCAGCGCCGCCACCGCCGCTATCACGCGCTCGCGCGCCGTCGATCGCTCCGCCATGGCTTTCGCTTGCCTGGCGGAAGGGACGGAGTGGAGTTAGGGGCGTGTGGCATGCGGATGGGGGGAAGGGGTGAAGAGGCGAAAAGGGGGGTAGTGTGTGTTGCCAGGGGAGGGCGTTTCTAGAGAATTCTAAAGAACGACGACAATGGGGATCAGAGAGAGCGCGAAAAAAAAGGGAGCGCGAGTGCAGGTCCGATGATCGGGCAAAACAAGAGTGAAAATAAAAACCTCGACTGAATGCTCCACGTGGAGAGGCGTCTCGCGCGGTCGCACCTGACGCTATCCCGCGCTCGCGCGCAAGCAGCGCGACCTCGCGTGCCAATTCCAGTGCCCCGTGAGTCGACTCACATCTCACCTGCCACGAGGCGCGGTGGTCTGACCTGCCGACATTGGAGAGCAGCGATTGGGTCTCGGCGACGCGCTCGTGGAAGCTCTTGGCGACCATGGCGGGCACGTTGGGCACGCGCAGATGCAGATGATCGTCGTCCGCCGTTATCGACCCCATCGCCGCGCCTCACACCTCAATGCGCGCCGCTGTTCAATGCGCGTCGGTGTTCAATGCGCGTCGGTGATACGCGCGCGCAGATGCAAGCGCCTGACCGACGTTTGCCCTAATGCGTGATAGCCGCAGACGCGGTTCGGAAGGGGGATCAGTCGCGACAACCCCCTCGCTGAAGCAGCGCTTAGCGCGCGTTATTGTAGGTGATATCTGTAAAAAACAACCGCAGTAGACACTTAGCTAAGAGGCGCGCACATCAGGCATCGCATTGATCGTCGTTCACACCAGCCGTCAGTCGAGCCGTGTCGGCGAGAGTCATCGCAGCCGAAGCGCATCCATGCCGCGGTGCGACAAGTTTTAAGAACCTAACCGAAAGCTGACGCGACAAGCGGCAGTGACCAGGCGGAGAAGAGGTGACCGTGAGATGCGGAGAGCGAAGAAGAGGTGACCGATCAAACGTCGGTCCGCCGCTTTGTCGCGTGGGCAACAGGCGAGGAGTTTGGTTGGTGAGGAGTAGGCGGGCGAAAACTAGTATTGGTCAGGTGCAAGTGAGCGAGCGACCGTTGTGCACGCACCAGCACAGTAGCACGCGCTCGCTCGCTCATCAGTTGACCTGGTGGTCGTGAATGACGCGCGGAGTCTTGCTCTGTACTGTTCACTGTACACTGTATGGGCTAACGCTGGGATACGTAAGGATGTGTTACATGTAAAGGAGTCGTGAGTGTAATTTCTACTCTAAACGCAAAGCATTGTGGTCATGGTCACCCCATCCAGGACCCTTGCCATTTCCCAACGGACCAGCAAAAAAAATCCAACAGGCATAAATCAACATGAAATCACCCTCCACTTCCCACCTGCTGACACTTCCCACCTGCTCACACACTTCCCATTCATCTCCATCCACACCCCCCTATCCTCCTCACGCCGCCCATCTCGTCTTCTCCCTCCGCTTCTGCAGTTTCGCCCTCCTCTTCTCCTCCTCCTTTCTCCTCAACTCCTCCTGAATCTTCTCCCTCTCCTCACGCTGCAACCTCTCCACCTCCTCCTCCACGCCCTCCCTCCACTCCCTCCCCCGCTCCTCCACCTCCTCCTCACTCAACTCTCCCAACTCCCTCACCCACTCCCTTACCTCCTCACCCTTCTTCACCCCTTTCAACGCATCCAAAATCCTTCCATTGCTCACGAAAAACGTCGTGGGCTGCCCGTTACGCAGCGTGTTACCAGCAGCCAGCAGCCCCGCCTGGGGGTCCTTGAAGCGCCCCACCAGCAGCCCCTCCACAGGGGGATCTGTCTGCAAGTCCAGCAGCACAGTCTTCATGGAGCCACACGCGTGGCACCAGTCGGCATAGTGCAGCACCACCACCGCCTGCCCCTCCACCCTGCTCGGGTCACTCAGGCTGATTTCCGGCACCCGGGCGGCGAACTCCGTCTCGATGCGGCGCTGGTCCGCAGCTGCGCGCTGCTGCTCGTCCTGGCGCTCGCGCATCTTGAGCTCCACGGCGGCCTTCATGCCCTTCTTGGCGCGCGCCAGGGCCGCCCCCTGCAGCGCACCCTGCTCCTCCACGAATGCCCGCAGCGATGCCATGCTGCGATCGCCCTGGGTAGGGAGGAGGGGGGAGGGATGGCGTTGGGTGTTGGGGAGGGAGAAGTAGCAAGGGAGGGGAGAGAGGAAAGGGAGAGGATTGGCGAGGTTGGAGGTGGTAGTGGAGAGGGGGGGCAGGAGAATGGGCATCAGCGCAATCACGAGCATGAGCAAGGCACCACCCGTTCCTTACCGAGTAGTCAGCGACCATCTGTCCGCCATGGAACCAGATGAGCGTGGGAAAGCCCTGGATGAAGCCCACGGCGGGGTGCTTCTGGTGCTGCGTGGCCAGCAGCGCCGCCACCCCCACGCCCGCCCGCCCCGCCTCCTTGAGCTCGTCCGCCAGCTGCGACCACACCGGGATCAGCCGCTTGCAGTGCCCGCACCTGGGGAGGGGGAGGAGGGGGAGGGGAGGGTGGGGAGGGATGGTTTGGGGGAAAGGCAAAGGATGAGGAGAAGAGGGGTCTCAGGAAGAGTGGGGTGAAGAAGCTGAAAGAAGAGGAGGAGCGGAGAAGGGCGGCGAGGGGGACACTGTGATAACGCAGCGTCACGAGAGGTGCAAGTTGAGAGCTGGGAGTTGAGAGCTGGGAGTTGAGAATTGAGAGTTGAAGAGTTGAGCTGACGGCAGGCGGGCAGGCAGGAGCTGAGCAGAGCTGCGCCCACCATTCCGCGTGGAACATGACGAAGGTGTGCCCGCGGGTCTTTTCCTGGAAGTTTCCATCGGTGAGCTCCACCACGCTCTCACTGAACGTGGGCTCCGCGCCCTTCCCCTCCTCCGCGCGCTGCGCCTCCTCCTCCGCCCTCCGCGCCTCCGCCTCCAGGCGCCGCGCGCCCTCCGCCAGCTGCGCCTCCCCCAGCTGCGCCTGCTCCTCTATGAACGCCTGCAGCGACTCCCGCGACCGGTCCCCCTGGGGGCGCGCGGGGGAAAGGGAGGGGGGAGTAAGAGATGGGAAAAGAGTGAGTGTGGAATTTGGAGGAGGCGGGGGAGGGCGGATGGGGAGTGAGAGCTGGGTGAGAGATAGGAAGGGTGCGAACGGGGGCGGAGAGAGGAGCGGAGGAGGGCGAAAAGGAAATGGAAGGGAGTGCCGGGGCCTTGAGAGTATGCAGTGAAGAAAGCGCTGGTAGCATTGAGGGGGCAATGCGGGTATAGGGAGCGGAGAGAGGCGCGCGTGAATGCGCACACGGAAAGGAGCGCGCCCAGTAAGGGGGTTGCATGGAAGCAGAGCCAAGAAAAATGCTGCAGCGAGCGCCATGGGGGACGCGCCTGACGAGCCCGCGCATGCGCCGCCCCTACATCCCTAAAGCCGCGGTATCCCGCGCTCTTCCCCTTTTCCACCCCCAACAATCCCCCCTCTCCCCCACCTCCCAAATCGTCCCCCCGTTCCCCAGCCACACCTCGTACTGCGCGACGGGGCGGGCGCCGTGGAACCAGATGAGCGTGGGGAAGCCGCGCACGAGCTTCGTCGCGGGGTGCGCGCGGTGCTCCGTCGCCAGCAGCGACGCCATGCTGACGTCAGCGCGCCCCGCCTCCTTGAGCTCGTCCGCCAGCTGCGACCACACCGGGATCAGCCGCTTGCAGTGCCCGCACCTGGGGGCGGAGGAGGGGGTGGTGGGTGTTGTGGAAGGAAGGGAGGCGGAGACAGTGCGACGTGCGCGTGGGGATTGAAGGAGGTCGCGGGAGTGAACGGGAGAGTGCGATGGATCATCGTGCGGGAATGAGCTGCTTGCAACGCCCCAAATTCTCGGCAAAAATAATGGGGATGCGGAGCGAGAAAAGCGAACCGCGAAGCAAAATGCAATGGCGAGATTAAGCCACGTGGTGCTGCGTATTAGAGCGTGGGCGATCCATGGCGTGCGCAGAGGCGGCGGCGGACCATTCGGCGTAGAACATGACGAAGGTGTGGCCTTTCGTCTTCCGCTTGAAGTTGGTGTCCGTCAGTTTCACCACGCTCGCGCTGAACGTGTGATCGCCCTCCTCCGCCGCCGCCGCCGCTACTGATCCGAGTAGCACGAGAGCTGCGACGGCCGCCCATCGCAATGGACTCGCGCACGCACCGCGAACCATGGCGGGAATTCGGTGCCTAGTTCGATGAGGTCAGGCAGTTGAAGGAACTGCAGGGAATGGCGGAATGGGCGAAAATTAATCAAATGTGGCAGGAATTGAAATTCCGTCTGAATTTCTGGATTTCTCCAGCAAATCTGTATTTCATCCCTGAGCCACGGGGAAGGGTGGACGGCAGTCGAGCGGGGAGCGAGAGGGAGTGAGGGGAGGGAGGGGGGAGCTGGGGAAGTCAAGCGATGCGTGGGGAATATCAGTCGACGCGTTAGAAGTTACTGTACAGTTCGCAGAGATTCTGATATAATGATGGTATAAGAACATTATGATCTCAAGAATGAATTGCACAAGACTCTAAGCTCGTCTTTATTCTCGTCGTACATTTCTAGCGACTTCAAGGCTTCCGCAGCCACATCCTTCTGCAAAACAATCATTCAAGACAATTGGGAACGTGGATCCATGCACAAATCAAGCCACACATGACGAGAGCGGTGAAAAAAGCAGAGTTGTGCAGACAGATTCAAGCAGGGAAAATGAAACAGACTTACAGGAATAATGCCATCTTTGGTTCGATTCACTACAAGGTCCTCCACTACGTCTTTAGTGAACTCGGGGTGTCCTTGCATGCACAGCACGTGCTCCCCAATGGCAAACATCTCAATGGGCGTGCGCGGTGACGCGCCCAGGAGAATGGCTTCGGGAGGCAACTCCAACACCTGTATGAGGAGAAGGAAGCAGCACCAGTCAATCAAACTTGTCGTTGCATACAGCCAACGGCCAATAGCAGCACAGCAGGTAGCTCAAATAGTATTTCCTTCACATTTCCCTGAGTGGATGCAAAACGGGATTCACCTGATCCTGATGGACCTCCAGAATCTTGAAGGACGATGGCAGGCCGGCAGCATATGGCAGTGAAGCCACGTCAGCAGTGCATTGCACGGACTTGATCCCCAGCTCCCACCCCACCGCTGCCCGCCCTGTGCGCCCCCCTAGCGCCCTCCCCAGCACCTGCATGGCGCTCATGGGAGGGGTGGGCAGATCACGAGGGAGATGCGGGGAGGGTGGGGCACATGATGAGAAGAACGCAGAGATGGTGGTGAAAGGCATGGGCGAGGCATGCGGCAGGTGCATAGAAGAGAGGCACATGGGGATGGGCACATGGGGATGGGCACATGGGGATGGGCATATGGGGATGGGCACATGGGGATGGGCACATGGGGATGGGCACATGGGGATGGGCACATGGGGATGGGCACATGGGGATGGGCACATGGGGATGGGCACATGGGGATGGAAAAACGTCACACTTGCTACACTTTTTCAAGCAAGCAAGGCACCTGGTGGCCGAAGCAGACGCCGAGGATCTTAGTCTGGCGGTGGTGCAGGTGGAGCAGCAGGGCACAGAGGCGCTCGATCCACGGGTCGTGCGCATGGGCGTCGTGCTTGCTGCCCGTCACCACCACCGCCTCCACCTGCCCGCCCCCATAGCATGCCATGCGTGCCCCATGCCATGTGTGCCCCATGCCATGCGTGCACATGCATGGTGCAGGGGAGTAGAGCAGATGCATGATGCATGATGCATGATGCATGGGATGCATGCATGTGTAACCCATGACGACGGATGCATGATGAAGGATCCGTGATACATGGTGCATGTTGGCAGATGCATGGTGCATGTTGGCAGATGCATGGTGCATGTTGGCAGATGCATGGTGCAGGATTCACAACTTGTACAGGAATCACACATGCCTGCACCCGTGATCCAGCTTGTACGCACACGCCACGCGATCAGCACGACAACAACCCTCTGTTCCACTCCTCGCCACACGGCGTGCTCACCGCGTCCAGGTCCTGCGCGGAGGGGAACTGCCCGTCCACCACGGAGAACACGTCCCACCGCTCCTCCGCTTCCCCTTCCCCTGCCGCCTTCTCCCCCTGCGCGTGTCCGCCATCCCTGAGCAGCGAGAGGAACATGCCGCTGTAGTCGCCGTACTGCTGCTGCGAGTACGCACTGGCGCGCGGTTGAGGGCGGGTAGGGGGAGGGACGGATGAGAGACGGAGGAGAGACGGAGGAGAGACGGGGGAGAGACGGGGGAGAGACGGAGGAAAAAAGGCGAGGCACTGAGGACGACGGGGAAGGAAAGTAACGTGAGGACGAGAACGGTGGAGCTCAGTTTCAAGTGCATGGCGCTGCATGCACCAACGGTGGAGCGCACCGCGACGAGCACTGGGAGCAAAGGCCTGTCAGAATGGCTCCAGTCAGATTCGAGTGTAGAGGCTCTCAAGGCACCTGCTGTGGCCGGCCAGCAGGATGGCGAAGTGACGAGTCCGCGGGCGCCGCCGGCTTTCCTGGCCTGTCGCCGCGTCGCTCGCCGTCGAGTCGTTCGTTCCACCCATGGCTCGTGGCACGCAAGCAGAACGGGCGAGCGGCGCGCCTGATGCGCTCGACTGGGGCCTCACGGCGTGGCTTGCCTCTGGTTGACCGAGATGCACAGAGGCGAAGTCAACGCGGCGGTTGCGAGTCTCAAGGTTTGGTGCCGTTGAAATGACTCTACGGTGCGATGCTATCGGCAGCGCAGAGCATGGCGGTGAAACACGGAGGGTTGTCGCAACCATGGGAAAGCTATGGCGCTCCGCAGCTGAAGAAGTCACGACCATAACTTGGCCTATTCTCTCGAGGAATTTGTGTGTTGGAGGTCTTGCGTGCAGGCTGTCCTCCAAAACTCGAGCAAAAAAAGGAATTCCGAAGGATAGAACCTGAGAACTAATATATGATACTACATATCATATATTAAATCGTTTCGTGTCTATCACCTACCAGTTCCGGTTCCCCTTCGTTCTGTTAGCCTACAATCTTGTTCCCTACTTGCATTCGCCAGCAGTGAACCCTTTGTTACACGAATTCTTGGCACAGGCGTAGCTGAAGGCCAGCTTTACAGCACAGGTACACTCACAGGCAAAACACAAACGAAAATGGTACCTATTCTATAGCAGCACAATGTGGTGCTCTCTGCCTGCCAATCCCTTGCCTGCACCCTACACCCAGCCATGCTGCCACACTCCCGCTGCACCTGTGCCTGCATCCGTCCTTGCGACAGCAAGTGCAATGAGAGCAACTGTACCGCACTGCACCGTAACCAGCTCCACCATAACCAGCTCAATTGTACCGTATCGCCAATTACACCTTGAAGCCGCGGCTGTTCCTGCGACCACGAGCCATTTCCCGCTTGCGGCCCTGGCTGCGCACATATGGCCTGCAGAGAGGGAGGGGACAGACGGAAAAAGGAAAGGAAGTTGATAAGGTGAGACACGGTGAACAAGGTGCCATGGCAGGGAACACAACAACAAGGGCTGGGAGGGGAGGGCGTGAAGGCGTGGAGGGGGAGAGCGGGCACAGAGTCCTTGTGGCCTGCACTGCCCTGTGCTGCTGCTGCTGCTGTTTCTGCTGTTGCTTCTGCCTCTGTTGTTGCTGTTGCTGCTGCTGCTTCTGCTTCTGCTCTGCTGTAAATGCTGTTGCTGCTGCTTTTGCTTCTGCTGTTGCTGCTTCTGCTGCTGTTTCTGCTATTGCTGCTGCTGTTTCTGCTATTGCTGCTGCTGTTTCCGCTGTTTCTGCTGCTGCTGCTGCTTCTGCTTCTGCTGCTGCTGCTGCTGCTGCTTCTGCTACCAGTCCGCACTGTGCTCCCACTCCCTTGTAATCTGGTTCCCCTGCGCTCCGAGTACCCTACGCTCTGCGGCTGCTGCCCGCTTATCGCCCACCCCTAACTCGTCCTGATCCCTCCTGTCGCGCGCACCATGCCCCTCGACCCACGGCCCGCATCCCCACGGCCCGCATCCCCTCTGCCCAACATCCCCTCTGCTCCACATCCCTCTGCCCCACGGCGACAGTTCCCCCCGCCAACAGAATGTAGAGCGGCCCAATGAGGTTCGGGTTATTCGCGGCGCACTAGGAGCGACGCGAGGAGACGTAAGGGGGAGGAGCGAGAAAGGTTGGAGAGCGGGAGAGAAAGGGACGCAGGTGCGGCGGAGAGGGGACACACGGGCATGGCGGCAAGCGGCAAGTGGCAACACTTGCGTGGTGTGGCATCGGGAAGAGCACTTGCCTGGTGTGGCTGTGGGGGACACCGGGCGCGGGGCCGAAGTGCTTGAAGGCCTCGCGGCTCGTCACCTTGCCGCGGAGCAGCAGCTGCGCGCAGGACGAGCGCAGGATGAGCGCAGGTATGCGGGGAGGCAGGGAAAAAGGGGAACAGCGTGGGAAAAACGAAGTTCAGGGGCACGCGGAGAGTGAAAGAACGTCGGTAGAAACTACGAGCAGGAGAGCGGGCGGACAGGCGGAGGGAGAAAGGACGACAGCGCGAGGGTTGCGGGGGGCATACGCAGTTGATGCCGGTGGGCCGCTGCAGCGCCAGCTGGTCGAAGGAGAGGCACTCGCCGCCCGCCTTCTCGATGCGCGCGCGCGCAGTGGCGGAGAAGGCCAGCGCGCACACCTTGACGCCCTCGCGCACGGCGTACAGGCGCTTGTCGTCCGTCACCTTGCCCACCACCGTCACCACCGCCTCCGCGCCCTGCCGCGCGCGCGCACCAGCGGAGTATCCGGGGGGAGGGGGGGGGAGGGGGAGTGAATTGGCAAGCAGAAATCAAAGTGGGACAAAATCACGAGGGAGCGCGAAATCGCGATTGCAAGGATGGTGCTTGCGACGGTTCCGATGGCGGAACCCTGCTGTCACTCTCGCTTCACTGCACAATCGTTCCTTCTGGATCTGTTCCATTTCTCCTTACACCCCGTCCCACCATCTTCCCCGCATCCCCCTCCGCTCTCTTACTTCCCCAGCCCCCCCACGGCGCGGACCTTGTTCTCGCCGTATTCGAGGACGCGCGAGAGCGCGACGGGCGGGCGGTTGGTGCGGCTCATGAAGAGGCGGCGCAGCACCACCTTGTTGAACGGGCTGCCCGTGCGCCGCGCCAGGAAGCGGTAGATCTGCCGCGCGCGGGGGGGGAGAGAGGGTTGCGGCGAAGGGGAGCCGGGGGAGCAAGCAGGGGGAGAGAGGCAGCGGGGGGTGGCGGGCGGAAGGGAGGGGCGCGCGGATACGAACAGAAAGAAGAAGAAGCTGAGAACGTGCGGGCGCGAGTGAGTATACGTGCGTGAGTGAATGTGGGCGGGCGCGCCCATGAACGAGAGCGCGAGCGGGTGGGGTGGGGTTGACAGGTGAGGGAATAGAGGTGATCGGTGAGGGCAGAGTAAGACGGCCTATGTCTAGCATTTTTGAAGAAGTACTGCGACGGATATGGGAGGCTGTTCACTGCGGGAAGGCAATGGCACTACGGAGTCCAATACGTGGATTTCGAGTTTTTTGCAGCGTGTGGCAAGCAACCCGCTGCGGCAATGCTCAAAAGAATGTGAATTCCACCCACTGAAGACTGTTCTACACGCCACGCAGAACATAACACGCGCTCATTACCCACGCCACGGCGTCTGGAACCGCTGCACGACAGCATCGCGTGAGTCACACTAGCGCAACCCGGGGATAGCTGCACCCAACGAGATGTCGGCTACCGGATGGAACCCTAAAGCGTTGCCTTCTCGCCTATACTGAACCCTAAAAATCTGCCCGCCGCTGCCTTCCCTCCGTCGATCCAAAGCTATCGCCCCTGAACTTCTCTCAGTGCATCAATCGGCACGTCGCGATCCCGTAGCGACAACCTCTTCCCGTGGCTAAGCAACAAATTCCGAGCCGTCGCAACACGGCCGTTCCCAAATGAAGAGTCTATCCCTGAACAATCACAGGCGGCTATTCGACACACGCACGACGCTGCGTGACTGACCTTGACGAGGAGGAGGAGGTAGGGATTCCGGCTCTTGGGGGCCGTCCTGTGGGTCTTCTTGTTCCGCCCGCCGGCCTTCAGATCAATCGCCTGCACCACGGCAAGGGGAACGGAACGACGATACGCCGGCGGTCAGAGACGTCATCAGCAGCTAGGGTTTGCAACTACTTCGAAAAATCGGGGAACGCATGTCGATTCTTGCATTACGTCCTCTATAGTGAAATGTTGGACTAGTGTAAGGATGAGAAAGACCGAGAGCATTACACGGCCAATCGGTTAAAGCCAGAGGCTAAGGGCGTAGCGCGTACCATGTCGGGCCGTGTGGGTGTCTAGAGTAGAGCAACCAGAAACTAGGAGGGGAGAGAAAGGGCGGAGAGAAGCACAGCAGAAGAGCTTTGTTGGGCCGCTGCTGCCAGAGCGCTGGGGAGGCCATCCAAGGGCGGGCTGGCGGTATGAGAGCGACGAGAGGGATGGAGGGACGTGTGCGACGTGGTGAACTGTTTGAGTTCGCTCGGGTTACAATGTATATTACGATAGTATGTGGAGGCAATTTCGACATGCGCGCTCGCTGGTGGTCATCCACCTTCATGAGTGACCCCTTAAAGACAACACCGATTCACGTAACCTCGACGTCCTTCCCCTTTTCAACGGATGTATTGGAAATCAGCTGGTTAGCTGTATGTAGTTCCTTCGGATAAGTTGCAATAATGACCTTATGTGAGATGTTTTCAGGGATTGTGGAATGTGAACTGCCCCACCGCCATACACGATCAGACGTACAGTAATCAGTGGTGCCAAGACTGTACAGCAACTGTTTACAGCGCATAAGGACTGCCAGGCCTAGGGCTTTGTGTGACAGGTTACGACTTATAACCTTAACCTAGGGCTTTGTGTGCGCTCTCGGCTGTTCGCGTTTCGGAGTTTGGTACTTGGCTCGAGGACCGAAGCACAAATCCCCTCACCGCGCTGGGATTCGGGAGAACATTCTGGCTCCTCTTGCTCTCCCCCACCACACCACCTACTGAAAAGCTGGTGCGGCTTTACCCGTACCTCATCCCCCGTACCTACTGTCGTCATGACGAGCCTGACTGTCCAGCGACAGGCTGGTCTGTCCACAGCGAATGACAGCTTCGTGGTCCAACCAACCTACCATCCACGCCACGCCATGCTTCACGCACATACCGCACAACCATGGCCTCCCTAAACCGTGCCATACTGTTCTCCGCTCTCATCTGCTTCCCTGATCATGCTTATCCATGGTTCTTCTAGCGCGGTTCATTCACATCTATTTCGGTTTGGACCGGTTCATTCACCGTCGTACACCACTGCTTACCGTAAACACACCTTACAAAGTCAACCCTAGACTAATATACACGGCTCGCACTCACAGTTCTTAGCTCCCTCCCTGTCTTAGCCAAAGGCAACAGGTTCACCTGGCTGTCATTCCTGCTTCTCTCCAAAGTACACGTATCGCAGTTCGAAACAGGCTTTCTTGTGAGTAGGAAGCGTTTGTAGGTTAGCCTAGGCAATGTTAGGCCTGAGGAAACATTGCCTAGCATTCTTTCAATCCCCTCTTGTCTTGTCGTGCCGTGCGGCGTAAGGAATCTGCCCATCTTTGCTTCAGCATAGTTCTGTTTCTCCGGAATTCGTTCAGCAGCGTGCTGTCCCACTCATCGTGCGCGCGTCACCGCCTAACGTGCACGCCGAGGAAGCAGCTTAGATTCATGTTATAAGTGTAGACCATGCCGTCTCGTCCGTTCTGGTGTCATCAGTGCGCCACGGTGCGCTCGTTAACAGCTCCTTCGAACGACGCAGAAGCAGCGGAGGTCATATGCGCGTGGTGCGGCGGCGGATTCGTGGAGGAGTTGACAGCTGGCAGCGAAATCGACGGCGGGGAGCACGGCCGCCACCACAGATGGAGCCACCGCGGATCCGACCACGCCCGCGCAGCTGCTGCTGCCGCGCCCGTGATCGACCTAACGGAGGAGTATACCGGCAACGCGCATGCCAGCAACGCGCATGCCGGCGCGTCGAGCGGGTTCGCGAGGGAGGCTCGTGAGAGCTCGTTCGCGTGGGACGGCGAGAGCGCGGGCGATGCGGATGTCAGCGCAGGCGAGACCGCCGGGGTCGCCGCCGGCGCGTCGCTCCGCCCCGAGCGGCCCTTCCGCGGATTCGTTCGCCGCCGGCACGTCGGCGTGGGTGCTGACGTCAGGTCCCCGGGCCCGTCTGCCGGCGAAGCAGCGTTTCGGGAGTCCAGCGGGTGGGGCGGTCGACCCGCCGACGATGACGGCCGTGTTGCTGCTGCCGCCGGTGTCGTTAGCCGTAGTGGCAGCGGTGGTGGCGGCGGCGCTACCATTGGTGGTCCATCCGCGGCCGCTGCTTCCGCGTCCGCTGCGGCTGGAGCGAGCGGCGAGGCGGAGGAGGGCGGCGAGCGGCACGGCACGGCGCGGAGGCTGGAGGGCGCGTATCTGGGGCTGGCGAGGATGCTGCGAGACATGGAGGACCGCGTTGACCCCGAGCGACTCGCTGACGTGGCCGGCAGGGAAGCAACGTTTGGTGCTGCGTATGGCAGAGGGGGATTGGGGGGGAGGGCAGGGGGAGCGGCGTCGGCGCGGGTGGGGGGCGCGCGGGCGCGGCGGTTCGGAGGGGCGGAGGACGGGGGCGGCGGGGTGGCGGCGTCGTTGCTGGGCGTGCGGGGGGAGGCGGAGGCGTCGCCCATCCTGGAGTTCATGGAGCGACGCGTGAACCGCGAACACACGGTACGACGGCACAAACGGTGGGGCTCGCAGTGGGTCACGGAGGGTGGGTACGCGGGACGTGCGTGCATGGCTGGTGAGTGCGACTGGTTGGGTGCGCGAGGGAAGCGAGCCGAGGTGCCATGACGTTTGGCTCGCGGTATGTGGCTCACCGTGTGCTCTCGCCGTGCTTGCTCATTGCGCCTCTGCTCCCCACCCTCTTTTTCTGCCCTTCTTCCTCATCGTCCTGCTCGCCTCTCTCGCCCCTCCCGCCAGTTGCGGCGCCTGCTGGCGCGTCTCGAGTCGCTCAACGCCATCGTCGGCGGGCAACTGCTGGGCGGCGGCGCAGCGGGCGGCATAGAGGGCGCGGTGGGGGATTACTTCTTCGGAGACGACTTCGACGCGCTCGTGGAGCGGATTTCCGCCGACGACGCCGTCAGGTGAGACGCGAGACCATGGGGTGAGTGACGCCGGGGGTTGATTGCGCCAGTCGTGCCGTGCGGTAATCTTGTTACCACAAACGTAACCGGGATTCCAGTGGCTTACCGCGGCTGTCTGTGCGCGCATCTCCCCTCGCCTCCTTTCCCCCTTTTCCTCCCCCATCGTCGCAGCACGCGCAACCCGCCCGCCTGCCCGGCGGCCGTCGAGGCCATGCTTGTGCGCGTAGTGACCGCTGCTGACGTGGCGCAGCGCGAGGCGGCGGGCGAGGGCGAGCACGGGGAGGGCGGCGGGCTGATGGACCCGTGCGCCATCTGCAAGGACGACTACGATGCGGGTGCCGTCACGCGGCAAATGCCGTGCCGCCACGTGTACCACTCCGATTGCATCCTGCCGTGGCTGCAGCGCCACAACACGTGCCCCGTCTGCCGCTTCGAACTGCCCACCGCGGACGCGCAGGACGCGCAGCAACAGGGGCAGGGGCGGGGGGCGGAAGGAGCAGGGGGAACCGGCGCGGGCGGGGGAGCGGAAGCTGGTGGCGGCGGGTGGAGCGGCGGAATGAGCGGAGAGGAGGGGGGCGGCAGCGGGTGGGAGGGCGGGGATAGCGAAAGGGAGAGCGTGGGGTTCCGGTGGGAGTGGTCGGAGCGGGAGCGGGAGAGGGAGAGGGAGAGAGAGAGGGAGCGAGAGGAATGGAGGGAGCGGGCGTGGGAGAGGGTGAGGGAGAGGGAGAGGGAGCGGGAGAGGGAGAGGGAGGGCGGGAGAGTGGGAGTGCGGGGAGTGTTGGGGCAGTCAGCGGCGGCGCGCGCGCTCAACAGGAACAGCATCGGCGCCCTGACCACCCTGGTCACCCTGGGCGCCTCCAGCAGCGCGCGCAGCTCGCTTCCGCGCGAGGCGGGGCGCGCGGGGAGAGGGGGGGAGTGGGAAGGGCGCACGCGGTGGGGATGGGGGATAGGGGGGGATGCGGGTGGCAGTGGCGCGGGTGGCGGGTGGGGAAGGGGCGGGTTAGGAGGTGCGGGGTGGGGGCTGAGGGGAGGGCGGGAGAGGGGCGTGCGGGAGGAGAGGGAATGGGAAAGAGAAATGCGACGAGAGGTGATCCGGACCTGGGGGAGGGAGGGGGAGAGGGGAAGTGAGAGGGAGAGTGAGAGGGAGAGTATGAGGGAGAGTGAGAGGGAGAGCGAGAGGGAGAGTGTGAGGGGGAGCGAGCGGGAGAGTGAGACAGAGAGGGAGCAGGGGATGAACATGCAGTGGTGGGGGGGCCAGGGCTGGCCGAGGGGCGGCCGTCTGGTCTCCCCCTCCGCCCTGCGCCACCACCGCCACGCCTCCCCCGCGCGCCCCGCCTCCCCTGCTCTCGCCGCGCCAGAGCCCCCCGCTTCGTTAGCAGCAGCGTCTACTGGCGGCGTGGCGCAGCGCGCGCAGCAGCAGGGCCGGGAGGGGCAGCGAGTGAGTCCGCGCGCGGGCAGGCAAGCGGGGCGCGGGCTGTGGGGTGGCGCGGGGCAGAGGCAGGCATGGGCGGCCGTCACAGGGGGGGCGGAGAGGCGAGGCGGCAGCAGAGGAGGCGGGGAGAGCAGCGTGAGCGAGTGGGGAAGGCCGTGGGAGGAGCAGCAGCAGAGCGGCGAGCAGGGCAGTGCGTGGTGGCGACAGGCAGTAGCGGAGGGCGCAGGCCACAGGTGGGCGGGCGGACGGGCTGGGGGCAGGGCGCAGGGGGGGCAGGGGGGCGAGGAGCAGAGGCAGGAGGATGGGGTGTGGCAAGGAGTGCAGAATGAGCAGATGAGCGCGGGGGAGGGGGTGGCGGGGGGTGTGAGTGGGGAGGAGGGGGGTGAAAGGACGAGGGGGAGGTGGGTGAGCGAGGGAGGAGGCAGTGGTGGGTGGGAGTGGGAGGCGGGCGGAACGAGTGCGGGCGCGTGGGGCATGGAAGGGGGGGAGGAGCAGCATGAGGAACAGGCGGAGGAGGGGGAGGAGGAGGAGATTGAAGGGGATGACGTGGAGAGGGAGTGGCAGGTGGATGAGCTGGATGGGGGAGAGGGGCAGGAGGAGTGGGAGGAGGGCGAGGGAGATGAGGAGCACGTCGAGGAGGAAGAGGAGGAGGAGGAAGAAGAATGTGAAGAGTATTATGATGATGAGGAGGAGGACGAGGAGGGGGAGGAGGAGGAGGACGGGGAGGGGGAGGGGGAGGAGCAAGAGGAGCAGGACGAGGAGGATGAGGAGGAAGGGGGGGATGAGGAGGGGGAAGAAGAGGGCAAAGAGCAACTGTTTTTCGACAGCAGTGCAGACCATGAGGTCATGCTGACGTCACACTATCATCAGCAACTGCTCTTGCCATCCCCCTCGCCCCCCCTTTCCCCCCCTCCAGCCCATGGCCGCCGTCCCTCCCCCCCTTCCCTCAGCCCACGCCCCCCCCTCACTGCATCCCCCCCCCATGCCTGGCATGCCCCTCCCCTCCCCTCACTGCACACGCACCTCTCCTCCTCTCCTCTGCGCTCCGCTCCTCCCCCCCGCCTGCCCTCCTCGCCCTCGTCCTTCTGCCCGCGCCCGCGACTCTCTCCCCGCTACGCCTCCCTACGCACACAGCCCCACCGACCGCCCTCCCCGCTCTGACATCCCTCTTCTGACCTCCAAGCACCAGTGAAACATCATTGCTGTGGCACCAGTGGCTTGAACCCGTCCTCTATCCCTTGCTCCTGTGGATTTTCTCTTCCACGCCAAGTGCAAATGCTCTCACCCAGCGGAGCGCTGCTGTGATACAGTAGTTTCTCCCTCCCTTTGTGGCAAGGAGCCTTGGTGGGCCTCAATAATTCAGTGGAAAGTGCTCCAGATGGATCTGTTGGATGACGAGTTTGCATAATTGAGGCTGGCTACACGTGGGTATGAATTATTTTCCCTTGTCTGGAGTGAAGCTACTGGTGTATAAGGGCCGAGGTGTCAGATGCACTGAGGATTATTGAAGTCGTCGTTAGCCTGTGCTGGTTGCCTCGACCGGCCAATTTGTAGTTTGGAAACTCTTCGTTTCTATGCGGTACCTTTTAGACCCATCTTGGTAATGTACGGTGAACCTTGCTGGTTGCCTCGACCGGCCACCAAAAAGTGGGGTACGTAACACGACCTAAGGGTATTGCCGTAATGAAGCATAAAGGGATTCTTGTATGGTACATTTCTTGCACTTGCACGAATTCACCCATTTATTATCGCGTACGGTGCTTGGATAGGTGACAGTGGGGTGCAGCGAGTCTGGCCTTGGTGAATCTGGATCGCTGTTCAAATAATGTTTAGACCCAATCAAGGCTCATATTCTAGCCACGTGGGTATGTTTGTGGTGCTCGAGTCTTGAGAAATGGCGGGACTCTGACCCCCATGCCTGCCCTCAGCTGGCGAAGGACCTCATCCCACTTGTTACTGGCCTGAAAGGGCACCCAACATCGCAATCGTGGTAACCCTGCCAACCGATTGGCTGCAGTGCTATCTGGCTCCACCTTTCGTGACTCGTCAGTAGGCAATCCCGCCCCCGGAAAAACTACTTGAGCCAGCTGCAGGTGCTTCATTGCCCCCCACATCCCAGCAGCAGCTCCATTCCCCAGCCCGCGAGCCGCCTCCCTTCAGCGCCATTGGATCGAATCGGCGCCCCCCAACCACCCAACCACCCCCCCTCCGCTCACCTCGCCTGCGATCCACCCTCTCTGTGAATCTACCCTCCGAATCCCCGTCGAGTGAGCGACGCCCCTCGCCCCACTCACCCACTCACCTTCGCCTCCTCACGCGTCAGGTCCTCGTCCCCTGCCCTCCTCGACAGCCAGGTCTCCTCGTATCGACCACATGTTGCACCGACAGTGTCGTCCGCTGTCTGCTGATTGGATAATGAGCGCCACGTGTGACATCAGCATTGACGGGGACACAGCACGTGATGCGGCGAAGGCGGCAGGGGTGGAGTCGAGTGGAGGAGGCATTGCGTTGCGAGCGACAGTGATTGCCGACAGCGGCATTGCCTCACGTGCGAGTCTCTGCGATCCCCAATGACGATAAATGAAGGATAGGGAAAAGGTATTATCCAGTGTGTGACTGCATACCACTGTGTCGAGCCTAAATTCGCTCTTCTCGATCAACGAGCAACAGTCTTCCCGCATCGTCCTTCGAAGCTGCGCGACAGCGTGATTCGCCAATCCGACCCTCAAACTCGAACACTCCAACGCAACCGTTGCGACGCGAACTCAGGCACTGCGCGCCAAGTAGCGGAAGCAGGGTAGTTTGCGCAAGACACGGCGCGCAGCAAGCGACACAGCGATGGCTGACGTGTCGACAGCGGCGGTGGGGCACGATGCGGTGGGCGCGCCAGGCGAGTCGATGCGCGGCGTGACGGGCCGCGAGCCCATCTTCTCGCGCGACGTGGGGCTGGACGAGGGCGACGCGCTCTTCCCGCTGCCCGTCGACTCGGAGCACAAGGCCAAGCAGTTCAAACTCTTCAGGTGCGCCGCGCCTCCACCCTCCCAGCCGTCAAGCTGCGTCGTGTCGGGCTGACGCAGTCCGAAACGCGCAACCTCCGCTTGTCCACTCTCCGCTCCGCGCGAATCTCCATTGACGCAGTCACTCTCTTGCCTCCCCTGCGCCCCCTGCGCGCAACCCTGCCCGCTAATTTGCTCCGCTCCGCAAGTCGAGTCCTCTCATTGCCCTGCCCTTGCCCTCGTCCGCTTCGCCCCTCGCGAAATTGCGCCCGCTGCTCCTTTTCCTTTTCACTCACCACACCGTGTCCTCTCCGTGCCCCGCCCTTGCCCTCCTGTCCCCCCCCGAGCAGCGCGTCGTGGCCGCACATGCGCGCATTCCACCTCTCTTGGATCGCCTTCTTCCTCTCCTTCTGCTCCGCCTTCGCCGGTAACCCCGCCGCACCCTCAAACCCTCACCATTGCACCGTCGTGGCACGAACCACCCTGCACTCATTCTTTGCTGCCCCCTCGTGCCTCACTCCGCGTGATGCTAATTTCGTCCCACCCTGCTCTCCCCTCGCTCCGCCATCCCGCCGCCAGCGCCGCCGCTGCTGCCGGTGATTCGCGACAACCTGGACCTCACCAAGGCGGAGATCGCCAACGCCGGCATCGCCACCGTCGTCGGCGCCGTCGTCAGCCGTCTCGTCATGGGTACGACGCTTCCCACTTCATTCCGCCTCTCCCCGTCTCCGCCTCACATCATTGCTCGGACCCCGCCCATCCCGCCACGCCCTATCAATTCTGCCTTCCGCATCCCCCCCCGCCCCCGTTCCTCCCGCTCTCCCCGCTGTGCGCGTGTGGTCGCGCAGGCACGGTGTGCGACCTGGTGGGGCCGCGGTACGGCACGTCGTTTCTGCTGATCGCCACGGTGCCGTGTGTGGCGGCCATGGCGGCCGTCACCAACGCCGCGGGCTTCATCACCTGCCGCTTCTTCATTGGCTTCGTGCTCGCCACCTTCGTGTCCTGCCAGGTACGACCCACATGTGACTCGACTTGCGCTGAAAATCTCTCTCGTTGCAATGCTCGTCCCTTGATTCGGTCCGCTTCCTCTCCAGCGCCCTGCCTCACCTCCCTGCACTCCTTGCCCCGTACTCCCCCACTCCCCGCGCCCCCCCTTCCCCATTCCTCCCCCGTGTTTGGCGTGCGCAGTACTGGATGTCGTCCATGTTCAACTCGCGCATAGTGGGGCTGGCCAACGGCACGGCGGCGGGGTGGGGCAACCTGGGGGGGGGAGCCATCCAGCTGATCATGCCGCTGCTCTACTCGCTCATCACGGACGTCATCCACGTGCCCGCCTTCACCGCCTGGCGCCTCTCCTTCTTCGTGCCCGCCACGGCGCAGACCTTCATGGGGCTGCTGGTGCTGCTGCTGGGGCAGGACTGCCCCGACGGGCAGTACCTGGACCTGGCGAAGAAGGGCGTGAGGAAGATGGACCAGCCGCTCAAGGTGCTCAAGACGGCCGTCTCCAACTACCGCACCTGGGTCTTCGTGCTCACGTATGGCTACTGCTTCGGCGTGGAGCTGACTGTCGACAACGTGATCGCCGAGTATTACTACGACCGCTTCAACCTCAACCTCAACACCGCCGGGCTCATCGCCGCCTCCTTTGGTCTCATGAACATCTTCTCGCGCCCCAGCGGTGGGATTCTCTCTGACGTCGCCGCCCGCTGGTTCGGCATGCGCGGGCGGCTCTGGAACCTGTGGCTGCTGCAGACGCTGGGCGGCGTGTTCTGTCTGACGCTGGGGTACATGAACTCGCTGTGGTCGTCCACGCTCGTGATGCTCATCTTCTCCTACTTCTGCCAGGCCGCCTGCGGCGCCACCTTCGGCATCATCCCGTTTGTCTCCCACCGTGCGCTGGGCATCGTGTCGGGGTTCACGGGGGCGGGCGGCAACGTGGGGTCGGCCATCACGCAGGCGCTCTTCTTCAAGGGCGCGTACAGCACGGAGCAGGGCCTCACGTACATGGGCGTCATGATCATGTGCTGCACTCTGCCAGTCGTTGCTGTCTACTTCCCCCAGTGGGGCTCCATGCTCACTGCCCCCTCGTCAAAGCCGTCCGCCACGGAGGAGGCGTATTACGCGGGGGAGTACTCGGAGAAGGAGAAGGCCAAGGACATGCACTCCAACGGACTCAAGGTCAGTCCCTCCCTGCTCTCAGTCATCCGCTGCTGCGCTCGTGCAGAATATTTGCAGGCTGGTGTTGTGTTTCTACACTGCTTGTTGCCTGCACACGCTTTCTGTCCCACACCTCACTCTGCCTCACCTCTGTGTGCTGGTGTGCCTTGCCCGTCTCCCCTCCCCTCCCCTCCCCTCGCCCTTTCATGGGTGCAGTTCGCGGAGAATGCCAAGTCAGAGAGAGGCCAGACGGTGCCCGTCACAGAGGACCTGCCGCGGTGAGGAGGTGCCTTGCAGCCTTGCAGGCGCACGCACAGAGGAGGGGTTGACACTGGCACCTCTTGGTGGCACGGCTTGCAGTCAGATGTGCAGCTGCTGTGTGCACCGTACAAAGGCCAGTAGTAACTAGGTGTTACTGTGTAATGTATTATACATTATTTATGCAAAGCATTGTCCAATGAGACAAAAGCATCTACCGAAGCAGCCTGAAAGACTAACACCAATTAGTATGTTGGGGAGGACAGTGCATGCATGACCACCAGAGCCCCATGTTTGCATAGCAGACAGGAAAATGAAATGGTGCCATACCTTTGTTGTGAATGTGCGTGTACATGTAAATACATGGGTTGATCAGCTATGCGTGGGCATCTGTATACTGTAAATGTGTGTCTGTAGACGAGTTGTACCGGTATCATACCTAACACCCGGGGGTGTTATGATAACCACAGGGGAAAAAGAGGGGGGGGGGGGGGGGGAAGCGTTTTAATGAAAAATCTGTGAACCACCTTGCACTGGTGTGTGAGGGCAAAGTAGATTGATTAAAACAAAGAGATACAAGCTTTTATAAGAGTACAAGGAATACGAGGAGATACAGTTAATAACCGTTTTACTATTGCTGTTGCGGTTCGATACAGTGACGACTCGGGCAACTGCTCAATAACGAGTCAGCTGTTTGTCCTTGCTGTCGCGCTGTACTTGTCAGGTCAAAGGTCGCTGACCTTTGACTTTCGCGTAACCTCCAGCAGTTGCTCAACCTCCGAAGGTTGACTTGCTGATGCTTCGCTGTGTTTCGCTTCGTTTACGACTTAGTGTTTCGACGCGACAGAGGCGCTTAAATCACTTGTTTCCAACACTCCCCTTCTCTTCTGGAGTGTCGCTGCTGGTGACGTGGCTCTGTCCAGTCAGCAGCATGCAGTATTCAAATTTCTGCTTTCCGAGCTTCTTGGTCAAGTAATCAGCTGCCATCTCGGACGTG